ATTAAAAATAATAGTATTTTATTCCTAAGATATTCAGCAGAGTATGTCTACCGATGAGGCTGGTCTAAGTAACTACATCGAATCCAATGTTATAACTTATAACGGTAAAAACGGTAATTTTCATTTTTATAATATTGTTTGTGACACACATTGTGCTTGAAACAAAATTTAGTTCTCTTATAGAACAAATAAAATATTGAGATTCCTATATAGCCTAGGAATTTAGTAAAATGTAATTTTTTTAGTTAATATATGAAATAAAGTTTTTCTTTTAATCAATAACTTGTTATTAAAATTTAAAATTTGGATGGTGTGGGGTGACATTAGCACATATATATCACTAGATTACATATTTTGATCTTCAGAAAAAAAATATATTCAAATATAGTGTATATTTATAATAGTTTCTTCCCACATTTTTATATGTCATTGTAATAATTGGAAATTAAAATTATCAAACATCATGGTTAGAGAATCATAATTTGAAATCTTTCTAGTATACTCTTAACACAAGATTTTTGAAATTAATCTGGATTTTGGTCCGAAATTCCGATCTTATTATATAAAACAAGTAAAACAAAAAAAGAATAATGGGCTTATTAAAGCAATACAAAAAGCCCAATAGAGATATTCACGACCACCACAAAGTCGTCTTCTTCATGCCACATCGTACCAAATACGTCGACGTGGCAGCTTCAGTTCCAGATCTCATCTCGCATCCTCGATCTGCCACGCGTCTCTTTCTCCGTACGTGGATAGAGGAAGAAGAAGAACATTTCAAATTTCTTTTGGATTTGAACAAGTTTCGTAGAAAGATGGCTTCTTCAAATGGTTTAACCACCATACAATCGAGCTTAACCTCAGCGAGAACAAAACTCACTTCCTTCTCCAATCGTAATCAATTTGGTTTCGCTTGTCTTTCTTTTACAAAACCCAGAAACTTGAGTCTCTCTGTTCGTTGCTCCATGGGTTCCTCTAATTCTTCTCAGAAATCCGACAACAACGTCCAAGGTTCTTTTGTCGAACCCAACTCACGTTATCTACTGTAGTAATCGAAAAATGGTTTCTTTTTTTGTGGGTTTATGTTTCTGATTTTGTACCCACAAATTGACTCTTGGTCCAAAGGTTATGTTTGGTAATTGAGACCAGAATGTTTAATTACATGATGTTTTGAATGTTGGTAATGTTTATTAGGCTAAGTACAAAATTAGTAGCAAGATTTAAGATTTTGGGTTATGTTCTATAATGATGTTGCAGAAGCTGAGAAGAAAGAATTTGCTTCTCTAAGTGAAAGTGAATGGAAAAAAAGACTTACACAAGAACAATATTACATCACAAGGCAAAAGGGGACAGAGAGAGCTTTCACAGGGTAATGTATATGAAGAATATAGTTCATCGAAGTTTTCGCCTTTTTAAGATTATCAGAATGATCTTGATGCTTGTTTTGCTTTTGTTTTTAAGTGAGTATTGGAACACAAAGACACCAGGAGTATACAACTGCGTATGTTGCGATACGCCGTTATTTGAGTAAGTTGTTATTTATTGGTATACATTTGAAATTAAGGAAGCTAATTGCGTATGATGAATGATTATTAACAGATAAGAAGTTATAAATTTCTTGCAGCTCGTCGACAAAGTTTGACAGTGGAACCGGATGGCCATCTTATTACAAACCTATTGGAAACAATGTGAAGACAAAGCTAGACCTTTCGATCATTTTCATGCCTAGACAAGAAGTTTTATGTGCGGTTTGTAACGCCCATCTTGGCCATGTGTTCGATGACGGTCCACGCCCAACCGGAAAACGATATTGTCTCAACAGGTTTTTATTACTATCTTATAAACTTTAATTTCCCTTCCATTTGATCAAAGAATGTTTTTGACTCGGTTCGAGTTTTCTCATATGGAAGAGGTTCCTGTGTTTTGTGGTTTTTTTGTAGTGCTGCTTTGAGACTTGAGCCATTAGAGAGAACAAGAGATTGAGAGTTTCTGATACAAGGATTGTTTATATATTATATAGTTTCATTGTAATTTCCTAGTATTGAAACCATTGTAAGTCAACTCTAATCACATGTAATACAAGAACAAAAAAGGTATAAACTTTTGAGTTGATTCCACGATCGTCTAGACAGCTCATTCGTTGATTTGTTTAGTCCAATCTCTGTCCCACGTCTTCACCATATTATCCATTTTCTCAATGATCATACATGAGTGTGTGTATGTGTATATATGTATTGTTGTGGCTTTAGTGTTCTGTGTCATAGAGCTTAAAGATGGGGAAAGAAAATGGCAAAGTTGTGGTTTTGGATTTTTGGGCAAGTCCTTACGCGATGAGGACGAAGATTGCGTTGAGAGAGAAAGGAGTTGAGTTTGAGATTCAAGAGGAAGATCTTTGGAACAAGAGTGAGTTGTTGCTGAAATCAAATCCGGTTCACAAGAAAGTCCCTGTTCTTATCCACGAAAGTAAACCGATCTCTGAATCGCTCGTCCAGGTTCAGTACATCGACGAGACATGGACCGATACTGCCTCTCTCTTGCCTTCTGATCCTCAAGCTAGAGCCACTGCAAGGTTCTGGTCTGATTTTGCTGATAAAACGGTAATTCCTCTGTTTTTCTCTGCTTCCTTCCTTGTGTCGTTAAGAGATGTATACCGACCTTAAACCGCATTTTTGGTTTGTTTTGGGTTTCTTTGGTTTAAGTAGGTAAAGAATAACAAAACCAGAAATACATCATCAATCTTGTAACATTCATTGGTGTATTAATATATGTTTTCACTCTCATTAATCAACAATGAAAATGTGAAACTTTTCACAGAATTTGGTTTGAGAATGTAAACCAAATTAGAACCAGAGTTCTTGGTTCTGTTTTGTTTTGTTTGTACTATATACTATAAAGATACTTACCGACTGGTTATCAAAACAATTTCGGTTCGCTTTAAATTCGGTTTGTTTCATATGTCCAATTTGGTTTTTGATACAATTTATTACCAAAATGTAGATATCATTTGAAGGAGGAAAAAAAATTTGGGGAAACAAGAAAGGAGAAGAACAAGAGAAAGGCAAGAAAGAGTTTCTTGAAAGCTTGAAGATTCTTGAAACAGAGCTTGGAGACAAGACTTACTTTGGAGGAGAAACATTTGGTTATGTAGACATAACTCTTGTTCCATTTTACAGTTGGTTCTATGCACTCGAGAAATGTGGTGGTTTCTCTGTTGAAACTGCGTGTCCAAAGATCGTAGCTTGGGGAGAAAGATGTGTTGAACGCAATAGTGTTGCTGCTACATTGCCTGAATCCGAGAAAGTTTATCAACAAGTTCTTAAACTCAGACAGATTTTTGGTGTTGCATGAATGCCTAACAAAAAAAAGATTTTTGACTTTTGTGTTTCTTTTTGAGAAATAATTGATTTTTTCTTTATGGTGTTTTTATTCATCTGTTTCATGGACTATGAAG